ACCTACTCGAGTCAAAATATCAAAAAGAAAATAAGAAACAGGCGTTAAAAAGAAATGATAGAAATAAAATTATTGAATGACACTGGACAAAATAACCCGACAGAAACGCCCCTGGATAAAAAGACACCAGACAAAAATACTCCAATTTAATTTAATTTAAACATTTTCTAAATTATTTTACACGTGTTAGAATATTAAAAAATGATAAATTTATGATTATCTGATAAAAAATCCATATTATTAAACATAAAATCCCTTCATACCATATAACCATATTTCGTTAATAAATATTTTATATATCAAATCTACCCCATATCCAGCGATCCTTTCAATCAATCATCGTTCATCGTTTCCGTAAAAATGGAAAACAAGTTTTTCTGTCGTAATAATCTAAGCACATATATTTAACTAGACTTCCTCAACTTATATTACCACTAACCCTTATCTTTGTTGCGTAGTTGTAAGCCGCTAACGCAGTCCACAAACTTGATATCATGCCTTAACCTGAATCGCATAGTTTCGTTAAAAAACAAATAAATACTAAATAGATGTTGTGCACTGCTAACCACCCTAAGTATCTTTTAGATTTTATTGAATGCAGAGAGCTCGGTGTTATAAGATTAAATGTTTACCATATTCTACTTTTATGCTTAGATTAACCCTATTCCATATCAGGCCTTGCCATGAACTGCATATACATTTAGCCACATATAAGCATTTTCCCAGATTACACATGTGCATGGTTTTTAATAAAAATTTGTGGAAAAAATGCACAACGACTGGGTATTATTAGTTTAAAAAATTTTTTTTATTTAAGAATGAAAATATTAGTTGTCAGAGATTTAATAATTTTTTAAATTTCTCCTTATCACACTTTTTTTCTTGTACTATTATTATATCAAACAAATGACTATATTTGTATTTTTGAGTCAAGTGACGCCAGCCAATATTTTTTTCCATCAGAATACATTGCAAAATTAAAAATTTGAACTAAAAATTAATCTTTTTCTTATTCATTTAAAAAATATTTTCTTATCACAAATCATTTTTCAAGACGCCAGCTAATAGAATAAAATTTTTTGTCATAAATCAGAAAATTATGAAAAATCGACTTTTTTATAAAATAATTGCCAGACTCATCGCACTCCAAAAACCAAACAAGGACATTCGGCCCATCGCCATTGGTTCAACTTACCGTAGATTGGTCGCTAAATTAATCGCATCTAGAATCAAACACGATGCCGCACACATTCTAAGCCCCTATCAACTTGGTGTAGGGATACCTGGTGGGTGTGAAGCTGCTGTGCACTTAACAAGAATTCACCTTAAAAATAACCCAAAAAACGAATCCCTAGTAAAAATTGACTTCTCTAACGCCTACAACACTCTTTCGCGCAACACGTTCCTACATTCAACTTGCATCCATTTCCCAGCTTATACCAAATTTCTTTTCTCTTGCTACCAATCACCAACAATCTTACAATTCAACAAAGAAAAGATACTTTCTGTTGAGGGTATCCAACAAGGTGACCCTCTCGGATCCCTTCTCTTTAGTCTTGGAATCAATGACATGATAAAATCAATAAACTCTTCATGTACTCTATCGCTCCACGCTTGGTATATTGATGATGGAATCTTGAGTGGTCCCAGTAGTGAAATTGCCAAAGCAGTCACCATAATTAAAGAAATGGGCACAGCCATTGGACTTTCGCTTAACCAGAGCAAATCTGAATTCTCACTTTTAAATTCTAATGCTCCCAACACTCACGATTTCAAATTCACATCAAGCGTTGAATTAACACATCTAGGATCGCCTGTTGGAGGACACGAGGCAATAAGCACCTTTCTTCATTCCTCACTTGACATACTCCTTAAACTGGAGGACATCTTTACACTTCTTCCATCACACAAGTCCTTTTTTTTGCTAAAAAAATTTTTTTTTATACCAAGGATTCTTTACGCACTTCGGTCAACACCAATTTTTAAATATCCTATTCCTCTCCAAACTTACGAAAAAGGAATAAAGGACTTAACCGAAAAAATAGTAAATATCAGATTCAACGAAACTGCTTGGGCCCAAGCAACTCTTCCAACCAAATTTGGTGGTCTCGGCATCAGATCTCCACTTGACTTAGCAACAACTACTTTCATATCGAGTAGTCTCTTGACAAAGCCAATAACCTCCGCCCATAATTCTAAAGAAGACCTTTCCTTAATCGTGGCTATGGATATTTGGAAAACAAGGATCAATGCTGATTCTCATCCCCCCACAACCCATAAACAGAAAGACTGGGATGCACCAGTGGTTGCTCGCTGCGTTGAAACTCTCTTATCTAGCATGCAATCTACCGACCGCACCCTATTCTCTTCCTTGTTCATTGGTACGGGACATGAGTTTCTTGAGGCCATCCCATCTACCAATCTTCAGCTTCAACTATCCAACAATGAATTTACCCATGCCATCGGCATTCGTCTAAATTGTTCCATCACTCACCCCCACATCTGCTCAGGGTGCAACTCGCCAGTTGACTCGAAGGGTAGACATAGTTTACATTGTCGCTCCTGCAATGGACGATTCATCAGACACAAGCAATGTAATACAATCATCCAACATGCTCTGAAATCCGCCCAAATTCCTTCCACGTTAGAACCACAGGGTCTTTTTAGATCTGACGGTAAACGTCCTGATGGGATCTCTCAAATCCCATGGAGGAGAGGCCAACTTTTGGTATGGGACTATTCCTGTATTGACCCCTTGGCCCCATCCAACCACGCCATCAACATCCTTGACCAGAAGGAACAACTTAAAATTTCTAAATACACAGAAATAATAAACGATCATTGCTTCATCCCAATCATATCAACCACTCTTGGCACCTTCGGCAAACTCGCCTTAGCATTTTTCAAAAAATTAGGATCACAAATCAGCAAACTCTCAGAAGAACCCCGAGAGGGTTTTTTTCTTCGTCAACGATTATCCATAGCGATTCACAAAGCTAATTATATCAGTTTCTATGGTAGCCTTCTAGCCAAAGAGCTATCATAGACAACGCTTACGTCCCTTTTTCATTTTTGTTTCCCTGCGTCACACCATCTCCGTTCTTTTTTTTTAATAGTATTATTATATATTTTTATATATAATTGTATTAATATTTTTAGTGTTTATCATTTTTTTTAATTCAAATTTTATTATTATATACCTATTTTTATTGTGGTTAAGAAAACTTATATTAATTATCAAAAATAATATATATGTGTTTTAAATAAGATTTTATAAAATATAAGAAAATTTAAAAAAAATTAAATTTATTTAAAATTGAAAAAAATAATAAATTATAAGAATTTAATTGTTAAGTGCTTCTTTTTCTTTCATTCTTAGCCAACTACAGCTGACTTTGCCCACGGGAGTTCAAGTTACCTGAAAAATTTAAATATCTCACTGAAAAATATCGAGAAATTTTTTAAAGAATTTAAATTTTATCGATTTAGTATTTTTTTTGTTTAGAAATTGTATTTTATTATATCAATCCTAATTGGATAAAGGGTAGGGTCACTAGGGGAGTGGAGTACGCACAGGAGCTCGATTTCTTTTAAAAAATACCTTAAAGAGGTATCATAGAAATACCCCATAGATAAAAAGACTCCTAAAGGCTTAGAAAGTGGAACTTTTATTTTCGTATCTATAACTTCTTCCATGCTAATATTTTTTGTTATTAAAACAAATTTAAAAGAAATATGTGACACGAATAAGGTGCCTCGTTTGTTTATCCTTTATATTTAAAACACCTAAAACCATATGCTAGCATCCAATTTTTTATATTTCAAGTTAAAAAAAAACATTAATTGACCAAGAAAAGTCCCACAAAACCTGGTTACTATTCATCATTAAACAGGAATATCCTGAATTTCTAGATTCTAGCGGAATTTTGTGCTATGAAGCTTTTTTCATAATTTGTTTGGATCTTTTTTAAAATTCATATGCATTCGTTTGAATGGTTTATGAGCATTTATTACTTCATATGATTGAATTTATGCATTGATGCCCGAAATTAAAATTTTATTTTACATGTTACATATAGTACGAATTTGCTCATATAATTCAAGATTTCATAATATCAAATGTAACGTGTCCTATATATTTTATCTATAAAATTAAATACTAATTAAAATTCTTTTTAAAAATATAATACTTCAATTTAAACTGCTCTGGATAAAAACGGTCAAAAAAGAAGATTAACAATAAATTTATTTAGCAATAGTAGAAAAAATTGCAACTTATTTTTATGTGAAGATAGACGTGCTAATATTTAGCTAAAATAGAAATAAAGTTCTATTTTTGTATAAATTTTGTAGCGCAGACTAATCTCTCATTGTCTGCCATCGAAAAACCAGAAGTAGAAGTCCATAATAAAAACAAATATGCTGTCCTCACAAAGACAATAGTTACCAACACCTTAGGCATGTTCGGAAATGAAACCTTTAATTTTATCAAAACCATAACATTACAAGCGACCCCAATGAAGAATTTTATCTTCGTCAACAGATTTCCCTATTTTACAAAAAATTCACTTGTACCACTTTTCTTTAAAAAGGTTCATTTTTAATGTTTATTATATAAAATTTATATATATTTTTTTTTCATATAATTTTTAATATATTCTTATTTTGTTTTTTTTAATATATTTTATTTTGATATCGTTTACAATGTATTATATTTTTAAATTGAAACCGTTTTTTAAATAAAATTATTCACAATAAAAATTTTATAAAAATAATTTAAAAACTGTAAATCATATCAAAAAAATTATACATTTCGATTTAAAAACTGTGCATATAATATGTTCATTTGATATCTACATTTCTTATTTAAAATTTTTATAATTATATAATATGACAATTATATTAGGTTATACTATAAAACCAATTATGATACTTTATTCCACTAAACATACAATTATAACAATGTATTTCAATGGTTTATAAAATAGTAGTATATATATAAAATATTTTGGTCACATAATGGTAAAATCATGGTAATTTACTTTTTGATAACATAAGTGTATTTTTATCCTTAAAATAATGGCGCACTGATTTAAAAAAAAATTATTATGGTGATTGAAAAAGATAATATAATAATGATTTTATATCATGTTAGTTTACACAAAATTAATTCGCATTTGTCGATACGTATATAACTAACTATTTATTAATAAGTTCATGTTATTCTTATAGCTCTCTCATAACCTTTTGGTGTGGGGACGATAGAAAATTGGAATACATTGTGAGAATAGGTCTGAAGATCATTTTCTTCCACGGGTAAAATAAATTCATTCAGCTTGAATGCCACATGGCAGTTGCAATATTCTCCAGGTGTGATAACTTTAAAAATGCCACTGTGTTTTAGAGAACTGAATTTTTGAACAGTACCCTTACATTATAAAAAAAAGAATAATTATATTCAATGATATAGATAAAAAAAATAAGAAAATGAAACAATATTTTTATTTCCAGAAAATTCTTTTTATTATCTTAATCATCGATTTAAAATTTAAAATAAAAACGCACCTACCTTCTTTAAAAAATTATAAACATTTTTAAATTTCATTTTCTCCTCCCCTATTAGTTTTCAAATAATTATTATTTGTTAAAATTTAAAACATAACACAATTATTTTTGACAAATTTCGAGGTTTATATAATGTTATTTTGGCTAAAATCTTAATCGGGTCGTTTTAAAAAAAACTGAATAGGGCTTTTTAACAATCCATGATATGTATTTCAAACATGCTGAATTACATTTTCAGTAAATCAGATTTTTAAATTATAAAAATAAATGCGCTGAAAAAATAACAGCCGGGAAAACACATGACCACTACAAAATAAATATATGCATGTATAATAATTTTCTAGGGGTCTTGTTTTCTGCAAATGTTTTTTGATGTTGAAAAACTTGATATTGAAAATTATTTTAACTTGATATTTTTCCTAATAAAAAAAAGGTGGGTAGTTTTATTATATTTATGATCATGATCAAGTTAAGAATATCTTTATTTCTTTTAATTTAAAAATATGTTTTTTGGTGTATAAATTTAAAATTTATTTTAGTCAATTTATTCTCCTCTATAAAATATAACATAGAAAAATAAAAAAAATATATTCTTTTCTTCTACCTTAAAAATCGAAGTAAATAATTGTGAAGGTTTATAATTCTCAGAATAAATCAAGATAATGATATAAAATGTTTCGTATAAAATATAAATAAGCAAACTTTATATCTAATAGAGTTCTTGAAACTTTCTTTGGAAAATAGAATATTGCATACTGCAAAATGTGTTTTAGCACCGTTGAATTTAATAGTAAATTGAACTTTATCGCCGGCAAAATATGTAGGCCAATTGGGGAAAGAAGAGTCTTCGTAGTTTAGATGAACGGGCGAATTTCTAAGGCGACAGAATATGCACATAAGTAAAAACAAAATGATTAAATACCAACTTTTTTTTTAAATAAAGTGAAATGACCAATAGAAATTCATAGTGTGGGTTACTCTAGTGGAATATATTCAAGTCAAATCACATTTCTCAAATTAAAAAGGCTCTCGGTAAATGATTTAAAATGGAAAGATTCGAATTCCATATTCCAATACATCACATATATATATCTCAAAATTAATTATCAAAAGCTAAATTTATATATTAAAATAAATAATCCTCTTATAAACGTAAAGCTAAAATCAAAATATAGTACACATAATCAAAAAAACATGACAGTAGGTATTATTTATAAATATTGAAATACACTGGCCTAGCAAATGTTGAGGTAAACAAAGCTTCAATACTTTCTTTCTTATGCTAATTATCATGTATGTTATATATCTTTTTAATTCACAAATCAGTACAAATGATATCTAAATATATTTTTTGTGAAAAATTAATTATGTTAAAACATGATAGCAAGTAATAAAATATTGAACTCTAAAAGAAGATTTCCGCGAACTTCACCCGTACCACTGCGACATAAATATTTTGGGATATGAGGGCTGGTTATAATACCCGATTTGGAATCGCCATCGCAGAAATCCAAAGGCTCGCGCGGGTAAAGAATTTTAAGATCCGCTAAACAATTGCTCTTAAAATAAATGAATTTTATGGATTTAAAAAAAATTAAAAATTATTTTCATTTAAATATATAAGAATTATAATTTATATTGGCTAATGGTTTTATTTTTCTTTGTTTAAAAAAAGAAAAATAGCAAAAAAAAATTAAATAAAATAACGTCCATTACTTAGGTGACATATAAACTCGATGAATTAAAGCGAGGTATAAAAAGTTCAAAAAAAAATAAAGGGTAAATATTGCCATCATTATAATATATTTTTGATACTTTTATTTACATATATCTCTACTCTAGATTTATTAATGATAGCGGGAACTATATTATGAAGTGGTAAAGTATCATCCGCCGTCGATTCCAATATTATTTGAGAAGGTACTGTTGAAATTATTATATATTAAAAAAAAATAGTATATATAATCTGATTATTTTTCTTCTTTCTTTCTAACTGATCAACGTTAAGCTTGAGGGACAATAATCAACTATACGTAAGAAGAACGCAAAAATGCCTTTGCTTTGGATCCCTTGTTTAAAGAGAATATATAAGAACCGGTTAAAGTTAGGTTCCTATCTTGGAAACGACGAGACACCAGGGTGAACTAATATCCCGTATCTCTTATAAATGTAAAATAACAAGTATTTTACCATCAATTTAATCATACATTATGGTTAAGTGGGTTACTTATTGAGTCATTATTCTTAATATATTACCCTTAGGGATGCGTTTTTGAAATATTATTACTAGAGGTTAGCGTAAGTTGACTCGAAGTCCGAGGGCCATAAGGTATTCGGAGCGCACCGAACATTGCGCAAAATATTTTTACGGGTCAGACCGGACCAAAGTTTTAAAAGTTGGTGATTAAGCAAGTTGTTTTCATAACAGGACCAGCTGAAATTTAAAAACTTTATTTATTAATAAAATTAATTAACCTTTTTTAAGATTTATTTTTGAATCTTAAATAATTTGTAAGCACGGATAACCCATAATATCTCTATGGCCATTCTAACCCTAACTTTGTCGAAAAAGCGGTTTCAGAAAAATATTTGTCCCACAGAGGAGTAAATTATAATAATAAGAATGGCGGAATAAGTTACCCATTTAACCTCGTTTACGTTGATTCCAATCATAAATTAAATCATTGCCTTAGAGATGTGCAACAAGGGTAAAATAAATATACAGGATATCCTTTTACAAATATCGCATTATTTTTTTTGAGACTTGCGCATTTTCTCTCTCTGGGGAAACTGTTGGAGATATATATATAATACAGGCAAATGATTAGCTTTATTTTACTTTCTAGATATTTTTAAATAAATATAGAATCAATTCCCTTCATTTTTGATATTCCAGTCTTATCAGTTAATAAGAAATTGCTTCTTCCCCCTTCCCCCTCGACAACTCATAAAACATTTCATTTTATATATATAGGCATATTGCTATTAATCATATTATTAATTTTACAATCGATTTCGTCCCAAGTCAATTTAACCATTATAAGTAATATAACTTTTTTGTAAAAAAAGCTTGTTTTTTCTTGAATGGGATAATTCATTAAAAATAATTTATTTAGAGCATACCCAAACTCAAAAATAGTAATAAAACTAAAAAGCTTAACTATGTGAGCCCTTATTTGTCCAGTGGAGAGATAACGTTAAAATGAATTAGGCCATCCTTTAAAGGAAAATATAATATTTATTTACGTTAAGAAATATATTTTAAATCTATTAAAAATAATTCATATTCTAACTTAATGTGGCAGACGAACTATTTTTTAAGGTGCTAAACAAGGATACATTGCCGTAGGGTAAGAAAATAAGAAACATCTGATAAGGTATGGCCAAGTCGCCGCTGTATTTTTCAATTTCTTTGACAACGATAGAAGTTTCGAAGGTTGGAATATGTGATCTAAATTATATAATTATCTTTTTTTAAATAGATATGTCTAGTTTGTGTTAGAAAAACCTAGCATCTGACCTATTATTTTCTCAGGTCGGTCGTACCCAATCCGAGATAAAAATTTATGAATCTTTAATCCAACCAATCCAATCATAGTATTATTCAGTCGAAAAAGTGCGATATTTCAGAAAACATAAAAATTATAAACGCCGAAGGAAAATAAATTTTTTTTTTGTTTAAATAAATTAAAACTTTGTCGAGATGCAAGCCCGGTCAGGAAGATGTCAAAATCAAGGAGTGTTGCTAAAGGACTCGATTCGAGTTGATTTTTAAAAAATGGCTAACTCAATATTTTATCCTGAGAAAAAAAATACGTAAAAGATTTTACCCATATGTGGCATAAAGGTTTGGACACCTATTAGAGAAATCTAGAGTAATTAATTCCGGCTAAAATATAGTTAGCCGTTATTTAAAATCGGCTCAAATCCAACCGTTTAACAATAATCCCACCGACACTGAAAGATTTCCCCGGTCCGTGTTTGGCTCTAATTTGTAATGTAATATACAATAAATCTCCCACTTTTTAATCAATCGAATCTATCTATCTAATTCATCTATCAATCTAATCGAATTAATCTACCCATCCTACCTATCTATTCTATTCTAATCTTACAATATCTATTGATATTGAGTAAAATATTATTATACATGGTCGGGTCAAAAATTTTGAATTTCGACTCCAATAGGGCATGATTTTGAAGTCTTGAAATAAAAGTGGCTCCTTTCGATTTAAAACTATGGGACATGATAACAAACCAATGTTTCAGCTCGTTCTTGCTTGGCTTGAGATTTAGCTTAGAATCTAACTTCAAACAAAGTTCTGCTATGTCGTCTACGCCTTTATCAATGGTTGGAGATTCCAGCGGCTTTGAAAATTTATTTTATAAAAAAAAACATGCATTTAAATAATATTAAAGGATTTTTATTTAGGTCTGTTCAGATATTAAATATCGGATCAAGGCCCATATTTTGGGTTTTGAAAAATATCAGATATCTTCAAAAACACCGATTCAATCTTTTTATTTTTTTAAAATGTATACTTGATTTTTTGTTTGTAATATGCTATTTAAGCATTACATTTTGAGTTTTCAGAAAAAGAGAATTTGAAAAATAAATTAAATAAAATTGTTATACCTATGAACAGTACCACAGAAAACTTTAGCAACATATAAGTTTTAATTAATATTTAGATACAACATTTATAAAAATCATTTTATAACTTTTAGATTTGCTGAATGACACAATCCATAATAAAAACTGCAATCCCATATCTCATTCTTCATATTTTATCTATTAACCTTTTTTTTATATTTGACTATAACAAAAAGATATTTGCATTAGTGATCTGAATTGGGCATTTTTCATGCCCAGTCCAAAATTTTTTTAAAAAATTTGTTCTGACCACTGGCCAGCTCAATCCTAAATAAATTTTTTAAAAAAAATTAGTTCTGGCCACTGGCCAGCTCAATCCTAAATGAATTTTTTTTTATTTGTCTAAAAAAGCCCACTTAAAATAGCAATAATTATTACTTATCCACATGTACTGGATTTATTTAAATATACAAAAATTAAAATTTTTTTTTAATTGTAAAAAAAATACTGTACTATAAAAAATATTAGTCTTGTTTTAAAAGAATTTTAAAATTTATCAATTTATTACACAAAATGTAATCATAAATTTTTTTTTGAAAATTACCCATAACAATAATAAGTATCTTTTAAAAATCCTACCTCCTTAGTTGATTTTTCTACATTATCTTTCAAATATTTTGTATCATGGCAGAGTTCATATGGATTGATCTTACTGTTTGATTCCAAGGAGTCAAAATGGTTGAACAGCTCTTCGATTTCATCCAAATCACTCATGATCTTATAAGTTTATCAAAATTATGCATAAAATATATAATTTTTTTGAAGAATAAAACTTTAGTTATTCAACAATTCATATATAATTACTGTTTAAAATTTGAATATTGATATTTTTTTATTTGTAAATATTCGAACATATGTTTAATAAAAATTAGTAAATATAAGTATGACAAATATAACTGCAATTTTTAAAACAGCATATTATGAAAAATAAAAAAGCGCGAAACTTAGGAAAACCTAATATAATAACTGCATATGAGAAAGTTATAAAAATGAAAACTCTTATGAAAAAAAATTTGGGTTATTTGAATTTATATGAGTTTTTATAAAAAATAGTAAGATTGACATACCAATCAAATTAAGAATGTGACAGGTATATTTAGTAAAAATTGATATAATAGATAGTAAATTCAGAGGCGTCCAGCTTTTCAATCTTAAGGAGCTCAAAACAAAAATTTTCAAAATTATCTTTTTTAGCTAACATTATCTAAAAGTAACTTTTTTAGTGGTATAAAAAAATTCAAATTTTTCAGGAAGCTCGAACCCCTGCGCCGCTCTCTTAGTGATGCCACTGGGTCATTAGGTTCACTCCATCCATAATAAATAAATATTTTTAGTTTATCCTCACAACTTCATTGGTAGATGTTGACGCTTTATCAGAAGAATTTAAGAATTCTCCAATTAATATAGAAATAATCTATATTATAATTTTCCGATGTCCTCACTACGTCATCGTGAAGTCATGTCATCGCTACGTCATGTCATCGGTACGTATTTATTTTTATTTTTTTTATTTGTTGATTTTATTTATTTATTTTAACAAACAGATTAATGGAATTTCGAGAATTGATGGTGTACACATACCTAACATGGATTGAGAGATTTGAAAAATCGGCTTTGAATAGATAAAAACAATATTCCTTCAACTTTTTAAATATGAATGAAACTTTTTATTTCATTCAATCCTTACTTTATTTTTTAGATTACCTTATCACTTTTCATCTCATATTATCAATACACATTAATGAAATCTCTAAAAGATACTCAACTTGTATATTTATTTTGAACATACTCACAATTTTTGTCAGTACTTACATTACAAATTTTTTTACTCATATTTTTCTTTCATAACCAATAATTAAGAAGATAACCAAGTATATTCAAATATTTAAATAATCTTATCCTAACCTATTTATAATCTCCAATCCTTATAAATAACTCTTTCTTTATTTTTTTCCCCTCCCTTAATGAATTTATTTATCACTAAATTTTATAATCTCATTCTTTTCTTTCTATATCTATTATCTATTAACCACTATTTCTCAAAACCTTATCAATTCCTTAAATTTAATTTTTATTATTTTTATAATATAATAATTTATACCTTCTTTTTCCCCCCTTTTTTAATCTTATTTTTTATTTACCTTACAATTAATTAACCTTAATCTTAATAACATTACATTCATCATGTTATTTCTTTTAGAACATCAGAATAGGCTTGATAAGTCCCCCAAAATTTTTTTTTGATGATAGCCCTCCAACTACTAGAAATATGCATCTAATATTGACCCATCTACTGGTTTTACATTATTTTAATGTTTGTTTAATTTCAACAATAGTTTATTTATATTTTTGCTCGATTTCTTTATTTGTCTAGGCTAACCCTAATCCCTCACATTGCTACAAAACATGATGAATCTATTATTAAAGATAAACAAAGAAAATAATGACGATTAAACAAACGCCTTACCCGTTCTAGAGTTACTGGTAGACAAAATAATAAAGAACTACGCTTGAAATGAACTCATCTGGAGGTTTATTTTGTTTTTTTTATCTTATGTTTTATATCTATGTTTATTTTATTTTCACCCAGTTCTCCAAATTATACTATCACCACTACCTCAATCCCTATTCCTTCGCCTATTTTTTAACAAATATAAACATTTAATTTTGTACTATCATTCACTTCACTAGGAGTTAATATAAATATTACTTTATCCGATTCTCTGAGAAACTTTCATGAATATTTAGAGGAATGTTCAAACTTGAATGTACAGTACGGCTAATTTCATCAACTTTATTAATGGAAAAATAAGCAGTAGTTCTGTCGTGGCCTTTAAAACAATACTTACGACCGTTTTATGGTTGAGTTAACATTGTCGTTCATGATTCTATTTTAGAAGGGGATACCAATGCTGACATTGACAGAAATATTGTTTTGCGTGTTCAAACTTGAATGTACAGTACGGCCAATTTCATCAACTCTATTAATGGAAATATCTGCAGTAGTTCTGTCGCGGCCTTTATAACAATACTTACGACCGTTTTATGGTTGAGTTAACATATTCCTTCATGATTCTATTTTAGAGGAGGATACCAATGCTGACATTGACAGAAATATCGTTTTGCGTTCTTCTTTTACCAGTATCCCAAGGCATAGGCATATCATTTTTATCAGGACATAATGTGTTTGGTACACTGCTTTTTTAATCCGTCATCACTTTCATCTACAACCCTAAATGATATAAAATTATTCATTAATTATTTTTTCTCTAGATGACCGCCCAGATTTATTTTGTCGCTTTTTCCATCAGAAATTAAAATGTCAACAAGGATTTGCTCTTAATTTTATCAAATAAATAATAAATAATCCTCATTATTTTTTAAAAAAATTATCCTAAATTTATATGTCAATAAAAAAAAATATCTTAAAAAATATATAAATAATTTGCATATAAGTTTCATTAGTGTTTAATGGCATTTTTGTAATTTAAATAGACAGCATTTTTTTTTACTTAACATAAAAAAATATATCCCTTATCAAATTCTTTGACAAATAATTTAAGAAATGCAAGACATACATTCAAATTATCTGAAAAACAACAATAACCCTATATAATAAACAACATATTTTTTAGATATAATTTTAATTGATCATATTACAAAAAAGTATAAGAGTCGGTTATTTTTATTTTATTTGTCATGATTCTCTATTAAGTGGTTGCCCAGGCTTTCCCAGTTTCCCTTAATACGGAATTTACATGTTTTTTTTCCATATTAGACTAATTGGTAAATCAGATATTTCCCGTTCAGATGATATTAAAAATTTTATCTTCGAGGCGGGAAAAAATTTTCAAAATTATAATGGGTAGGACTGGGCTTGAAACCTCAAAATTAATATTAGCTTGCACCTGACTTGGGAATATCTTTTACAAATTATCAAGGGTTTTAAAATTATAAGATCTTTGATGCTTCCTAATATTGTGAGCTTGAACCTGGCATGACATCTATCGTAAAAAATGAATAAAAATCTCATTCCCCAGTCATTTTTGACGGGCTTTCTACTAGTATAATATAATTGTAAAATATAAAATTTATATTCATAAAAAACAGGGATCGAAATCGAACCTGAACCAAGCCGTTAAACCGCTAATACCGGTATTTTTAATCGCTAAACCGAACCTAAACTGCTGTAAAAATTTATAGCCGAACCTGAACCGAATCGTAAAAATGCCTCTGAACTGGTTCGAGCCTCATGATTTTATGCATAAAATAATATGTATGTTATTACTAGTATATTGCAAAAATTTTAATTATATTCGAATTGTTTTAAAAAATTATTATCAATCATTTGATTGATAAGTGTCAGTCATAATTTTTATAAACTTTAGTATATTGCCATTTTACAGCATTTTTTAAATATCCTATAGAAATTAAATCCAATATATAAATTATTTACATTTAGTATTATAAATGACATTCAAAATGTAATATTACTGATTGTCAAATAAATATGAAAGGCCATTATAAATTTTGGGCGTCACATAAAAAGAAATAACCTAAATATCACAACAAAAGCCTAATGAAATAAAAAAGTTTAAGATGTCATAAAGCAACAGACGATAGAAGAAGTATTAATAGAACACTCAATATCAGTTAAACTAAATAAAAATAATAATAATTGATGCTTGCACTGAGTTGGTCACTTTTAATGGCAGACCATTCAAATTAATCGAAGTTAAGGTTTTAAAAAAAATTTTGATCCTATATTAGTAGATGTGGGCAAAATTAAAATTAATTCTTTAAATATATGTTGCAGAATAATCCTTAAGTATTTGGCAAAATATAATCAAAGAAATATTATAGTTAATTTTCCTAAGAACCTAGGTTAAATAAAAGTATGAATATTTTAAACTATTGGAGAAATCATAGTAATCGATGCCCAGAATTATGTAAATTGTTTGATATCATATTGGCTGCTAAACAAGTTAGTGTGGAAAGATGTTTTTCAACAATTAAATTTATAATCTCTTTATAGATGTAATTTGAGTGAGGCGAATCTTGAAAATATATTAATTGTGCGGCCTAATAAATTTTTTTTTAGTAAATAAAGTAAAATATTGTTCATATTAAAATTATTCATTGATATTTATTTATATTATTTAATAATCTGCAATTGATTGAAGATTTTATGTATAATTTTAATGATGGAATAAAAAAAATATTAATTTATACATAATTCGAATGTAGATTTGAATATAAAAATGTTCAAACCGGTTTTTAGAGGTTCGAACCCAACCGATCAGTGGCGTAGCTAGGAATTTTCCTTAGAGGGGGTCCATATATAAAAGCCTGGGGGGCTTCGCCCTCCAGACCCCCTTTTACGGGCCTTCGGCCCTTTTGCCCGGCCTTCGGCCGGGTTTATCTTAAAAATTATATTGGTTTTTCTTATAATATAAAAGTCCTAGAATTATTAATTATTTTAATTAGTGTTGTTAAACGGCTCGACTTGAGCTGATTTTTATAAACAGCTAACTCAATATTTTTGCCAAAAAATATTGTTCAAGCCTAGAGATTTCTCGAATAATATAAAACTTGTATCTCCATGAGCAAAATTTTCTGGCTAATATATTGAGTTAGCCATATCGGCTAAAATTGAGCCACTAATTTTAATTAAAATAACACATTGACACAATTTTATTGATATACGTTTCATTTTATTATACTTTTAGAAGTTATTTACAAATAAAAAGCGATTATTTAAAATATAAATATTATATTGATTTAATTATAAATATTATATTGCTTTAATTATAAATATTATATTGCTTTAATTATAAATATTATATTGCTTTAATTATAAATATTATATTGCCTTAATTATAAATATTAGTATTACACATATAAA